CGGGAAGTCTTGCGTCCGTCACCTCAAGCAGCGACCAAAATAGCTGACTCTATCGAGCATCGACGAGATTTGATACTTCATTTTGTTTCCTGTTTTAATAGAGGCAGACAGATCATTGAATTGGACAGCGTACATTAACAAAATAAAAAGGCAATGATTTTACCAATGTTTTTTTTATTATTATTTGCGAGCGGCACTGCCATGATTTTTTTTCTAAAAGGGATAGGTGTATAATAAACTTGGTATGTACACTCCCAGCCAAAATTATACCAACAGCTCCCAAAAGGCGTCGTAGCTTTTCCACTTCTTATCATTTTAGATGCGGTTTTGACAGGAGTACCATAACGAGATTCGAAAGCGCATCTAAAAATGATAAGAATAGAAAACATTACACTGCTATTTGGGTGGTGTTACTCCTGGCCAAACCAGCCATCACACATTTCGACGTAGCTCACTCAATATTCGTAATCTGATGCTGCTCTTTTGATATATCTTTCCTGTTGCATCGTGAAACTCTGTGTTGGACTAGCAACCTGGATTCTGTGGTTTGAAGAATACTTTACATATAATGAACTGATTTGATCAAGTGGTCCAACTTCAGACTACCTGATGCAATTTTGAAAATAAAAAATGAAACGGAAAGTTGGCATTAGCAAGTATCGTCGCACCCTTCTTTTAATCACCTCGATGTAGCGTCGTGACATCGAGTCTATCAGATTCACCAGTGTTATCAACTCAACGCTATTTCAGGCAACTAAGACTGCCGCTGTTAGCTCTCTAACCTTTTGTACTGTTTCCCAATAGGACTTTCGTGCCAGAAATACCCATTGGGATACGGTGAGGGCACTGACCAGTCAAGTACGCTGATTCATAGTTTTTTTTAAAGAACTCGAATGTGTGCGCTGTCGTGCAGATGCGCATAGGACTGCAAGCACTCCGACACAGTATAAATCTACTGTGCCGAAGCATGACGCCCATCAACCACAGCAACACGCATCTTTCACATGGCGCTCAAGCCTCGCCATACCATCGCGGATCCACCGCCATTTTGCTGTCTTACAATTGCTCATGTAGACCATCTTACGTTCTGCTAATAATTTTGTCAGGTCCATCTAAGTGACGTGGGGCCAGCCCTTCTGGGCAACCAGGATGTAAGCGAACACCTCGCTTACGTCGAAGTCACCACGACGCTTGACAGACCGAGTCAACCACTCGATCTCTGGTTGATATCTCGATAACCAAGGCATGCCCAGGATGCAGTCGGACGCGTTGCTCATGCCAATCACAAGGAAGTTATCCTTGCTACGGAATTCGTCAAAGGTGTACGGCTGTGTGATCTCACGCCGCGCAGCGGCCCTTACAGACGCTGATCGCCGATGAGAGAACCGACAGACAGGAGTGTGGAAGAAGTTGTCCGTCGCCCCTGAGTCCAGGAGTGTGCGCAGCGGTCGCCGGGCACCGCCGATGTGAAGACTGACAATGATCAGTTTCGAATCGCTCGGTGGGGTGGTGGTGTAAAAGTGTGCTTGAAGCACGGGAGGGCTAGAAGGTTGGGTTGCCACCGGGGGACCCCGATCTTCGTTCCAACCCGTAGGGCGCCCCGCACCGGCGCTGACCGTTTTTTTGGCTGAAGCGTAGAAGCAGCTTCGACGTCAACATGTGCGAGAGCCGGAGCGGTTGCGCGGCACACTGCCGCGATATGTCTAGGCCTCCGGTAACGGAAGCAGGTAAGGGAGCGACCGGCGTGACCACCTGGCCCGCCAAAACCATTGCGTTGGCGACTGCTCGACAAATCAAATGCGCCGATTTCCATGGGCTAAGGGGTCGTCTCTCGAACTGACTCAGATAGCGCACGGGCATAAGATGATACCACCACGTAATCATCACGGAGCGCGAGGGCAAATTCTTCTTCAAGCGTGGAAGCCTCGGTTCGGATGAGGTAGTAATGTGTCATGTCCTCACGCATGCCGAACACGAAGACGCGGACCTGAGAGGCCATATCGATGGGCTTGGTTACGATATACGACGCGAGGTATCGCGTCGTCTGGATGTAGTCGCGCATGGATATCGAACCTTGCCGGAGGGCAAAGAAGTCTACTCGAACGCGGGATTCATCTTGGGGCGACTCAAAGGCGAGCCGAAGATCGTCCTGGAGCGCTTCCAGGGTGGGGAAGAGCATTAGGGTCAATAACCAGCTTGCCGAGTGCTCATTCCTCTACCTTACCGGTCAGCTGGGAGAGAAGAAAATTGACTTGAGCCGACGGCGCGTCGAGCAACCGCGAGGCAATGGCAATATCAATCTCCAGGAACCGCCGGCTTAGCGGAAGGCGATCTTCACCGACGCCGGAGTAGGTCGACGTCTCTAACTTTACGACATCATGCTTGGAGGAACGCGAGGGAGTTGACACTCGGCGATTCGCATCGGCGAGCTCGCGTTCCACGAACTCTTGTGCCGCGAGACGCTGTTGATTGGGAGTGGCTGAGCGCAGCATCGACGTGACGACAGCTTCACTAGACTCCGCCGTCTTGCGGTGGAGAACTTCCCACTCTATACAAGTGATATGGGGGAAAGCGGCGTGGTCGAGGTCTTGACTCATGTCGAACTTGGTCATTGGAAGGACCAACAAGTGCTACCAGGTGTAACAGGCCAGGCGTGTATCCCATTACTAGCTAACACGTAGCGGTGAGGAAGCATAGGGATACCTAGACCGATTACCTAAATCAGGATAAAATCAACTCTGTTTTATTTAGAGCCTGGACGGCTGCCCCGGGCCTCATGTGAACCACTCAAATGAAAGTCGTCACATGATAGGCTGATAATCGGTATGGCTCCTCATTATCCATCAATCACATAACGACAACTTGGCACACGGGTAGCGTGTGCCACTTTGCCTACTTATGTAATATCTAAAACTAAGCTACTTATGTAACTGTGGTGACCCGACACACCGCTAGCCGGCCTTGACGCGGGAGGGCGCCGATTACCTCTTGTAGAGGCTATCGTTGCGGACGAGATGTCTCGGTGCGTCGCTTGGCTGTACTAGTTTCGAGTGTTTCGACGCTGGTCCTGACAGTGAAACTAGCCGCTCTGATTGATTGACGTATAGCACGCTCTGTAGATCTGGATCTTCCAGAGATAGTCGAGCCTAGACGCGCGTTTGTTTCTGTTCCGCCTCTTGAGTCCTGATCGACAGCTGTACGATAGTCTTCTAAAACACGATCGAACCAGACTGTGAAGGTCTGACATCTTGAGCACTTCGATGGCAGAAACTGCGAAGATCTTTCACAAATTCTTGAGCGATGCCGACTAGGCGTCGTGTATGGTGGTCGAAGAACTCTTCCGTGAAGACATGTACGGTGAGTGCATTTGACACGTCATCAAGCGTTTGGTGCTTTGTAGCTTTGAGATACCGACTGATACGGCAAAGTTGTTTAGATTCACGGATCCGTCGGCATACCATGCTCGTCGTGCTGCAAAGTCGAAACACTTGAACTGCATCAGTGGAAGGCCTCGCGCACCAAAATTCAAAGTCGTAACCCGAGTTATGATCGCTGGACCCGATCATAACACGGGTCTATGAGCTTGGTAGAACGGGACGAAACCATACAATCGACATCAGCAGCAAGGTCCTCACCTGCATACTCCGGGGCAGCGATCAGTTCATTAACTCGTTGTTGCGTCTTCGCGGGGTCGAATGCGTGCTTTGGGCGCCGCTCGCGATTCTCCATTGCGTCGATCAGAACGGAAGGTGACACTAGTCTGCGGCGTTGACTCTCGCGGCTGCCCGTATATGGCGCGCCCCCGGGCTGGCTCATACTCAGGTAGAAACGGATGAGCTCGGGACGATCGGCAATTGCGACGAGAACTTTTGCGTGGTTATCGCCATCCCGATGTGAGGCCCCACCGCAGCATTATCTACCACCCGTGACCCCAATTGCGCTGGGGTCACTGTTGAATCATCGTCTATAGCATTAAGGATTGCTACTAATTCCATGTCGTTGCGGACGTCAGCGTTGCTGACACATAGTGG